ATATACTCATACAATAAATTTCTTTTTTCCATCCCAAATTTTGTTTCTCCTAAAAATGCTCCGAGATAGAGTTTTACCATAGATAGTGAATCTCTGAAATACTCCCATGGAGCATAGAATCTTATTACAAAATATAATGCCCACTTAATGTTGGGTTTATGTGGCCTTTAAACGCCTTATGAGTGCTTGTAAAATGAAATGATATAGTGGAACATGAATTCAATGGGAGTGTGGTCCCTCATGGACCATACTAAGCAAACAATGGTTTGCAGATACCGATCTGTGCTTAACGATCTATGCCAGTTGGTTGGGAAAATCCATGCTACCTGGGCATGAAGAACAAACCGATGAGGGTTTATAAGTTAGCCCTTGATGAGGTCGGAGAAAACATGCCTGGATAAGTGAGCCGAGGGATTGTATGACCCTTATGTGTGATTGTGGCCTATTGAGACGGGGGTCAAAACCTCATCCATGCTCCATCACATGGCATGCATATTGATAGATCGTTCGGGAAAGCCAGATATCCACCTTTCGATGAAGTGTATGCATGTGCGAGAGATACCCCTATGCGCTATAAAGTTGTGGTCGCATCAGGTCGTGGTAACCTTGACTTGTCTATGGGGAAGGACCTGTAATCCACAGACTGGGATTGCGACCCATTGATTCATTGATCTGACTTTGGTGACCCGCTAATGAGCCCCTGCTTGGATTGTGGGTTATGAGAAATATTGGGTCGGTTCGATAAAGCTAATGTAGTCTGTAGTCCACAGTTGAAGGTGGAGTATCCTATTATTACAGATTGAATTCCTAAAACCATATGGATTATTTTCCCATCATATTAATTTAATTGTGTTCATTTTATTGTTGAAATGATTTTAGTTTTATTATTTGAATTTTTATGAATCTCTCAATATTTTATTTGTGATTTTTGGACTTATAAAAATACAGTTATTGTTCTTACAAAGTTATAAAAATTCAAATTTATATTTTAAATTGTTTTATTTAATTTTAAAAATAATATTTTTTTATAATATTCCATAGGGGCCCATAGTGCATATGGGCCCACCATGTGGCATGTGGGTGGGGGCCCACATGTGCCACAAAAGGGTTGCACACCCCACCCTCTTTAGATTCTCTTGTTTGCTTTTAAGATAAGGTTAGTTTGATTTGTGGCATGTGGTCAAATCTTGGAAGGGATATATTGACCATAGCTTTATTTATTTTGTAGCAAGTTTGTTTTAAAGAGATATGATCAATTTGAATTGATATGGATCTTATTTTATTTAAATTTGGTAGTATTTATCTACTTGATATTAATTGACATATCCTTAAGGAATATGTGACATGAATCGTGCAATTTTATAGAATGCATGATATTTACATATCCTTAAGGAATATGTGACATGGATCGTGCAATTTTATAGAGTGCATGATATTTATTTTATTTAAATATATTGATGGTAAAATAGTTTAAGAAAGGGGGATAATGGTTCATACACCTTCCATAATGTTGATGACCCATTTATAGAATGGATGGCTCAGATCTCTCACCCTACAAGTCACCCTTAATCGACGGTCTATGTTCAATCTCACAAGAAAATGCAAGCTAAGGAAAACCCTAATCTTCTTAACCTATAAAAAGATATTGTCTCTACCCAAAAATCTCTTACCTTATCTCTGGTACCTAATTCCCATCTTGCTCTCTCATATTCCAAAAAGGGGGCACGCACCACTCTCTCATATTTGATTTCTCTCACATTATGAAAGAACCTAAGGGTTTAGATTATAGAGTTATTCTCTCCTATCTCTCAAGTATGGATTTACGGCTAAGGGTTTTAGGGTTTAGCAAAAAGAGAATCCATCTCTCTCAAACTAGATTGCTAAAAGAATTCACCTAAGAATTGAGTTTGTGATCAAAGGGGTTCATGTTCCATTGGTGTGGATTGATCCCGTGCCATCAGATGGTGGTGACTCAGTGTGGGGTGTAATAAGCCCGATTGAGATAATCTCCGGCACTTTTCCTTTTTGTTTCTTGCAATCTTATCTTTTATTCTCAAGCATAGTGCATAGTTGTTTCAATGGCATCAAGTTGTTAAGATCTTGGTTTTATTGTTATGTTGATTTTATTTTAAAATTTATCTTATTATAATAAAGATCACTTGTAAGTGATCTTTTGCCAAAAGAAAAGGGTGAAAAAAAAAAAAAATGTATTCTCCGATAAAAGATCACGTAGATCTTTCTTTCACTTAACACCCATCAATTAACTTATTGCACAAAGCTTCATATAAAACTTCATTTCCAATAATTATTAACATTAAAAGAATTGAGAATTGGTAAAATGGTATGGAAGAAGATATATTGCTTCTCTTTTTTTCCCATCAATTAACTTATTGCACAAAGCTTCATATAAAACTTCATTTCCAATAATTATTAACATTAAAAGAACTGAGAATTGGTAAAATGGTTTGGAAGAAGATATATTGCTTCTCTTTTTTTTAAATCAGAGAAATATATTTTACAGGGAGAGTTCCCTTTATAAAACAAAAGCTCACATTAAAGAGAGAATGGAAAGATGCAAAAATAAAAATAACAATACTCGATTAGAGACTATATGAAGAAATAAATCCAACCTAAACTGCTTGACGGACACCTACTTTAAATTCTCTCCAGGGTCCTATTCTAATAGTTGAATGCTTGAATGCCACGTGTCTTCCTAGAAATTGTGGCTTAATAATGCCGCATAGATGAAAACTTTTTCTCCCACTATAGTTATAACATGCGAGACCCATTACCACTTATTCACTCTGCTTAAATCAGTGATTTAAAAACGAATCGATGATTAGGATCGAGCAACACAAAAATTGGTATGGATCTATGAATTGGTGGTCTAGATCACTGTTTTCTGAGCAGAAAAAATAATTAACCGGTGAAAAAGCATGTGCAAAAACAGTGGATCGGCCAAGAACCGGTCCAAATCGGTGAATCGGCTTTTTTATTGTAGCAAAATGATATTTTTACTGTAGAAAAACGTCGTTTTGCTGTACCAAATTGCAGATTCTCTTTTAAACCCGGACAATTTCTTATATATTAATAGAATCGGTACGAAGTGACCGATTCCCTGGTCGCACCTAACAATGCCATGCCGACATGACGTTTTTTAAATCATTAGTATAAACAGAATTGAACCTAGTGAAGATGGATAAGTTGCATTCGAGGTTGTTTCATACAGTGTTATAGGATTCGGTCAAGTCCATTCAAAATCGTTGAGTTACTCTGCCTCCCCCTTATGTGCCAAATCAAGTACCCACAAGTTGCATATACAACTTGAGGTACATAAAAAAATATTTAAGAAATAGAAGGGGTCCCTGTTGTTGTGCACGGAAGCTTTAAACTCAATGGGTTGATTTTTGGCAAATAAAGTACAAAAAATAAAACATGAAATACACACCACAAGAACACATAGATTTACGTGGTTTACCCAAAAGGGCTACATCCACGGGCATGGCAAACATAAATTCATTATACCAATAAAAGTTATATCAAAGATTTTGGAACAAACCTCGACAAAAATACAGTCGAGCACACCCTTTTTAAATATGTTCTTCCATAACTAGACCATTGTTTAGGAAGAGAACAACTTAAACCCTTCTTCAACCTGTTATTCCATAACTAAACCACTCTCTAGGAAGAGACTACAAGAAACATACCTCTCACTCTGCCGGAGTCTTCAGGAGGCATCATCAATGTTTCTCTTAATAGAAATATCTCTTCTCTCTAAGAGAAAATTGCATAAGCTTATGTATACAAAGCTCTATCTCCATCTCCATCTCACTAGAGGAACCACCATTCTCATGTAGTGACCCAAATAGGACACCCAAATTCTCTTCACTTTCATCCCATAGATATAAGATTAGGAGTCCATAGTAAATAGGAGACTTCCTATTGATGTTACATATATCTCAAAACTACGAGATAAATCCAAGAGTCTTAATCTTTTTGGATTTATATTTTCTTTAAAAAACTTATTAATACAAATCTCAATCTCACAAATACGTGAATACCTCAATCTCACAAAATATGATATTTTCTTATGTTGTTGATGTTGAATAGTACCAAATCCAACACCTGTTTTATCTCTATTTGAAAAATATTTAAAAGTTCCTCCTAGTGCTCCATTGATTCTAGCCTGTTAGATGGGATAATGTCACCCTTTACTTTGGCCTTCTATCAGAGAATTATCCCGGTCTGTTGGTCCTTGGTAAAAAACCTGTCGGAGAGAAAATAAAGAAACAAACACTATCTCCAGTAAATTTTTCATCAGAAATAAGATTTTCCTTTATGGCAAGAACATGTAAAACATTCTCTAATTTGAAACTTAAAATTGGAAGTTCTACACCATTGCAAACCATGATTTGATCCTGGCCTTGGTAATCAGATTGTGATAAGCTGGTAAGATCTGAGGTTGGTTGATTAGTTGCACCAGAATCTGGATACCAGCGATCATCATATGGAGATGATGAGCTCATTCCTGACAAGGATTGGAGAATATTATTAGACTAAAATTTTTGGTTCCACCGATTATCGCAATTGCAAGCAATATGTCCTGGATTATTGCATATCTGACAAACAATTGGATTAGTTTGTGGATTGCTTTCAGTAAATGAATCAGTTCCAATAAGACTTCAGTGCCCCAATTGTCATCCCCATCCTCAATAACCACCACGACGAAATTAACTATGATGTCTAGGCTGTTTAAACTCACATTTAAACAATGCGGATAGCGCGACAGTCTACTTCATCATAAATGTCTTCCACTTACAAAGGACTAAATTAAGCGAGTTTCATGGATGTTCTTGACTATCACTGCTATCATACCCAAATAAGAAGTCAATAGCCCATTTCATATCATCATATCATTTGCTCATTAGAACTCTTTGAAAGAGAATATCTTAGATTTAGATGGTTTGATACATGTTACGTCGAGCAGAAACACATCTCAAGTTACCTAGATTGATTTTACGATATTTTCTTCGCATTGGGAAACTGTCACTATCAAGAGATAGTTCAAAACTAGCTCTAGGGTTCTCAAATTTTACAATGGGGACCTAAATTTCATAAATTTAGCCTTGATTTTCAAACACTTCATTTATCTAGCAAGAACTATCTGCAAACATAACAAATACACTAGATTATAATGTGCGTGTCTTTGCATTTAACCATTGTAGGGAAACATTGAATACCACAACATTTCTGATTTAAGCATGGAGATTTAGGCCAATTTGGACAGACCGCTGATTACCAATATTTTGTTCTTTCCCCCTCATTCATGAGTAAAAAAGGAAATGTTTGGTGCACTAAATATATGTGGTATGGGCTCTTTCTTTTCCTTATTTATTATCCTTATTTATTATGACAATGCCAGAAATTAGTTCTTTCTAATTGGCATCATCACCTTAATTTGGAGTGGAAAGGAATTAGAATATGCCATGCAACAAAATGTTGACATGATCAAATTACCAAAGAAAGCAAAAAGAATATTTGTTGACGTGATCAGTCTAAGCATATGAGATTGTTTACAAAGAAACCTTTTATTTTTTGTACATAGATGTCACAATCATTCTTGTCCCTTAAATTTCAAAATGGGTGATTGTAAGAGTGCCATTGAATAGATACAAAGTTCAAAAAAAAAAAAATCAAACTTCATGACTCACTCCAAACCATCCAATTTGACATCTAATGAATGGGAATGCTTGTGATCTCCATGTACAGAAAATAGGCTTGTGAACACTTTCTTCCAGCTATACATTATAAAATCTTCTCACTGGGACAATATCTCTTATGATATATTGCTTTTCACAGTTCAATTGCAAGAAAAAAAACAAACAAAGTTTTTATTTTAAAAAATGTAAAAAGAAAAATTTATTGATGTTTCAAATTTTCCCTAAGAAGACATTCTTCTATCGAATCTTACCATTACAATTCATGTGAAATGAGCAAGTTGGTCCTACATTTACTACATAAGTATCAACACTAATTAATGTACATTTGGATTTGGGTGCACCATAACAATGGATTGCTTAAATAGTCCTCAGTTGTAGTGATGGTCACCAATTTTAATGGCAACATAACTATGAAACAAGATTATATGGCGTAACCAAAAAATCAAGCACCTCATACCATTTAGATGGTATTTTCCTTGTCCAAATCATTTCAAATTGAATGTTGATGGGGTTTCATTTTAAAATCTTGGGTTTGCAGGTGGTGGAGACATTATTAGAAGTGTTGATGACTCCTTCATTGTAGCATTTGGAATAACATCAAATAACTATACAGAGTTTCGTGCTCTTACAAGCAGGGGACATCCAGTTAAACTGTTTTCCACTACAGATTGAGAGTGATTCCTTATTGTTGGTTGATGTAATTAATAATCGATGAAAAGCTCCATAGGAGCTCATATTGTTGTTACTAGCTGTCGCTATAAGCTTTCAGGTCATATTTAGTCCTTAATCCATATTTATCGTGAGACAAATATGGCGGCTGATATTATTGCCGATATTCTTGCCAAGAAAGCTATCGCTTTCTCAAACGTCACTGTTTAGCTATCCAAACCGCCGGATTTTCTTTCTCTCACAATACTCTATGATGTGGCACAAGTGTCCTATTCTAATTTGTAAATTTATGAGATGTATTCCTTCGTATTATTAATGAAAAACGAGTAAAGAGCTTTCTCCCCTTTTGATTTAACCCCAAAAAAAAAAAAAACCAAAAACTATAAAACCAAGAAATTAAGGCCAACCTTCATTGAATCCTCATTTTCTTCAAACAAATCAATGGTCGTCCAACATATGCATGGCTTATGCTTCTTGTTATGGATGTGCATTTTCCACAACCAGCTCAATGTATGGCACCCCTGGCTCTGGCTCCACAGCTGCTCTCTTTCTTGTTTGCCAAAAAATATGGGCCGAGAAAACTAAGATGGCCACGGCGAAGGCAACGACTATCATTGCGCAAGCAATAATGAGATTTCGCCCTTTCAGGCCAAAATCATTTTCTTCCGGCAGTAGGTCAGAACCGCTGTCCATTAATCCAAAGAAATACTACATATTTCGAGATTTAAATTTTAAACGTTCGTAAAACAGCTGGAGCTCGAAAGATTTTTTCTCACTAAAAGGAAAAGTACCCAAAATACCTACAGATATATCCTCTGATCATTAAGGTTTACCGGCAGGAGGCCCCTATCTCTGTCTGTAAGGACGCCTGGTCTCTCTCACTAGGAGGATTGCCCCGCCTCCCCCCCCTCTCTCTCTCTCTCTCTCTGGAACGATCTCCGTGTCTTGCTGTGCTTGAGGCATTTCCACCTCTTTTTGCCTTTCCCCTCCATGACTCGATCTCCGTGCCTTGCTGTGCTTGAGGCATTTCCACCTCTTTTTGCCTCTCCTCTCCATCACTCAACGCACCCGAAAGCAGTGGAGATGACCGTTACTATGAGCCAAAATAGAGTCAGTCACTCCATCTCCCCCTCACCGTTGAATTATTGGAATATTAGTTATATTGTTATCAATAGACTCGAGAAGCTCTCTCTTAATTTTTCCTCACAATTCACGTACTCTTTTCTATTTTGGCACGAACAATGGCTAATGCAAATTCTTCCTTGAGTTATGTAAATTTCAAGAGGTGAATACATAAAGTGTAGGGTTCTCGTGAACCCCTAGCGTGTTGAATCGAGATTCCCAAATAGCGAGATCTCATTCAAGATCGTGTACCTAATTGGCTAAATGCAAAGTAGATGAATACAACTATAAATCGAATGCGAAAAATAAAAAAACATAATAAAACACACCACCACAATACATGATTTACGTGCTTAACACGTCCACGGTCTTGTTGGATTTGGTGCTATCCAAAATCACCAACATAAAGAAATCCCATATTTTATGGGATTCAAATATTCTCATATTTTGTGGGATTAAGATTTATATTGATAGGTTTTCTAGAAGAAATAGAAATCCAAAAAGATTAGGACTCTTGAATTTATCTCGTAGTTTTGAGATATATGTAGCATCAATATGAAGTTTTCTATTTACTATGGACTCCTAATTTTATATATATGTGATGAAAGTGCAGAGAATTTGTTTGCTCTATTTGAGTCACCGTATGATAATGGTGGTTCCTCTAAAGAGAGAGAAAGAGATAGAGCCTTTTGTACATAAGATGCAATTTTCTCTTAAAGAGAAGAAAGCTTCCTATGAAGAGAAACATTGATGATACCTCCTAAAGACTCCTGTAGAGTGAGAGGTTGCCTCCTAAAGACTCTTGTAGAATGAGAGGTTGGTTTCTTGTAGAGAAACGGTGCCTATGGAGATTTTGGGTTGTTTCCTTTTTTAATGAGATAAAGTCTTGTATGCTCTCAAAGTAATTCTCTTCCTATACATTGGTCTAGTTATAAAATAGAGATGAAAGAATCGGCATAATGCCGTTTGGGTGAGCAAGTTTAAAAAGGGTTTGCACGACCGTATTTTTGTCAATGTTTGTTCCAAAATCTTTGATATAACTTTCATTGGTGTAATGGATTATTGTTTGTCGTGCCTGTGGATGTACCCCTCTTTGGTGAACCATGTAAATCTTTGTGTTCTTGTGTTATGTATTTCATGCTCTATTTTTCGTATTTTATTTACCAAAAATCAACCCATCGGGTTTAGAGCTTCCGTGCACAACAAGTCTCAGTAAATATAAATTCACTATCACAATGGAGGTTACAATTTTGGGTTATAAGAGATAATACCTGTCTCTAAACATCGATAAATAAAACCCTCACTAATCTTCTCTTCTAAACTCTCTCCCGATCGAACAACACCGCCGATCAACATCTTTCCCACTGCTATACCGCTATCGAAAAGAGTGCTTTGGAAGCAACTAATAAACTTTCTTTCTCTAGAAGTGGAAACTTAACTAACCCAAAATCTCATTGGAATATCTCTTCTTGGATGTCATCTCTCACTCTTGGATACCCATCTACATATTGGAGGTCTCTTTCCATAACTCAAAAGGGTAACCCTCAAATGGATGGGTAATATGTATTTATTGAATTTCTTTTATAGATATCATTTTCTTATTTTTCAGAAAAAACCCTTTTTTTTTTACAATAATACCTTTTTTTAAAAAAAATATGGGTACAATGGTTTGCCTGTCACCATACCCAACACAAAGTAGAGGCTCAAAAAAAAAAAAGTTGAAAGTTCCCGTTTTTAAATATTGGAAGTTCCAATTCATGGTAGCACTTTTTTTGTTTAATAATAGGAAGTGCTACATGACGCTGACTTTAGGAAGTTTGAGTAGCCAAAAAATGCGAACTTGTAGGTTTCATCCCCCATGGAAGTTCCTTTGTCCTATATTTTATTTTTTAAGGAAGTTTACCTCTTGTCCTACCCATGTCCTTTCCTTGTACAACCATGCACTTTCTCTCCCTCTAAATCCCCTCTCTCCAATCATGCCTATCCAATATCTAGCTGATCCCTCTCTAACTATGCCCTTTCTTTCTCTCTCTAATGCCTTCTCTAACCCCTCCCCTCCCTCTCTAACTGTGACCTTTATCTCTCTCACTCCCTCTAGCCACATCCTCCTACACTTGAATCTCACCCTCCTAAAATTAGAGGGGCCTATTCAATCGCGAGACATTATCTTTTTCAAGTACATAGATGGTGAAATCAAACCGAAAAAAAAAAAAGACTACTAATTTTTTTCAAGTACATACACGGTGAAATCGAACAAAAAAATACTTCTAATGTTATTGAATGGGATGGACTTCACAAACGGACAAAAATAAGACTCCATCCATCCATCCACATATGTCCACAACCCGGGCCGGGCCGGGCCGGGGCTATGCAAGGGTTTCCATCACAATCACAAGCATATCCAACCAAACCTTTCAAAAGTATCAAGGGGCCTTATGAATGGCCCAGTGCATGTTGCAGGGATCACGTCCGAGTGTGCAATACTTCCCCTGCATGGCACACTTACCCTACATATGCAGGCTATGCAGGGGAGAGGGCATGTGTAATTGTCTGAAGAGAGAGCAATAGGAATGAAACTACTGGCATTGTGACTCCCTGTCACCTCGACCATCTATCTAATCCTTAGGCCCATTTTTTAATCAGTGCATGCATGTCAATATTAGAAAAATAGAAATAGCACATGGTATTGTGTGCGCGTGCAAGAAGAGAGAGAGAGAGATAGGATAGGTTCTCAAGCATGTCTCAAACCAAGAGAGCCATAAGAAAATAAAGAGAGATCCAAAATACAAATCGAAGACACTCCTCCATATGATATATGTCACGGGCACAACCACTTTATTCCCCACAAAATGAACTGGGATTATGTTACCAATCCCTCCCCATCTTCCTCAAACCGGATTCTAACGTACATATCTACAACCAACGAATAGCAAAACAATCAAGAGAAGAGAAGAAAGAATTATTGAACCCCCAACCTCACAGAACACCAACATTATACATTTTTTTATGGTATAATACACCTCTAAACTAAACCTGGAATTTCAACTCGTGTCTTTATAGGCTTGAGCTTCAGGCCCAGGCTCTCTGGTGAAAGAAGCTCAGGAGATATGCACAATGGGCTTGATGGGCTTTTGGTTGGGCTTGGGTTCACTTCACTTGGCCTGTAGAAGCCAAAGCCCATCAAGAAATACTCCATGGGGATCAGCATGGCATGTGGTTGCTCCTCAGTCACCAGCGATCCACATGCTTGAACCTGATCAGAACCCACCAATGTCACTCTACATACATATTGGCATTTCTTCACATCCATACATACATACATATATGACTACAAATACAAATCGCACATACACATATGCATACATATATCAACATGCAAGAGAAGTACATGATCGAAAATATATTCAGTAGCTTTAGATTCACCAACGAATATATAGGGATAATATGAATATGCAGAGAAGGTTCTAAGCACCTATGACAAATCCCACACCAATACATACAGACGCTGCACATGCCTTCACAATGTGTGAATGTTGCCGATGCATAAACATTATATTGATGTGTACATAATGGATGCACATTGTGTGAGTTCATGCGGGACATGGAATATGGTTTATGATTTAATACCTCGACTAAGGCCGTATATCTCTTGTCTAATTTGGAGGTCATGTAGAGGCCCTCGGCATGGAAAGGTGAATTCTCTCCGACAAACAGAAGTGTTTTGCACCTCAGTTTTCTCAAACCATCAGTTAGGTCGTGCCTCCTGCAAATATGAAATCACAGGCACTTAAGACACAAAGAACATCTCTGCCAAATAAGAAATATAGCCACACTTTAATGTACATTATTTTCTTAATAACTGGTATAACTAGGGTTACTGTAACAGTGTAATATCTCATTGCAGTTCCAACAAAACCCACAGAAATTTCACAATTTATCAATAGAGTTTGCTAACTTCCCTCGGGGAATCTGCTGCCAATGCAAATGATATACCACTATTCCCCTATAAAACAAGATACCAAAGTAGAAATTTCTTCATTTCCTAGCATGATCACACAAAAATGAAAAAAATAAAAAAAAAAGAGAATGTACCTATTTATGGCCTGAAGGAAGTTGAGAACATTTGCACTCTGTCTCTCATCTAGCAGCTGTTACCAAAATAATCATTATCCAAAAGCAACTGAAGCTTTGGTATGGACGCACCTAAAAATTTAACATAAAAGGACGACGAGAAGGGGCTTACCCTTCGACATGCCTGTACAATGTCGGATTCAGGAACATATGTACTACCACGAACCTCCTGCAAGTCAAAAATGGCAGATATTACAAAATTGGGCCATAGTGATAAACTAAAAAACAAAAAAACAAATCTCACTCATACTAAAAATCTTAAGGGGCAAGATCTAGTAGTGTGAAGGTCTTATTTAACTATGATAGGCTTTCATAGGTTTGCAATTCTTTCCATTGACTGTATCTTGAGATAGAGATTAAAGTATCCTACGCAACCTATTTAATTGTTCTCTTTAAACCCAAATAAAAAGCCATAGCTTCAAAAAGCGCTAGGCGGATTTTGGGCGTAGGGGGATCCAAGCCGCCCAACACCTAGATGGGCGCCCAGCGCCTAGACGGGCGCCCAGAACCTGGGCGGCCCAAATGAATTCAAATAAGGATTCTGACATTCTGCAGTTATGTCAACATCAGTTATATGTATTGTAGTACATAATTCAAATTATACTACATATAACTTTGCAAAACATCAAAAAGTAAATATAATATTAATGGGTGATGTTTTGATCAATTTTTGTTAACGTTGAGTAACTCTTCAATCCTAAAAAATTCACCGCCATCTAGTTTTTTGGAGGCTTTCTCTCTCTAACTCCAACAAGCTTTAGGTTTCAAATGAACCTAAAACCCTAATTTTTTGCCCTTAAAAACAAAAAAAAAGAAAAATGCCTTCACCGAATGGTTTTTCCTCCCCTGGGCAAGGCGCAGGCCCTGGACGGCCCGCCCAGGACTGGGCGCTAGGCGCCCGCCTAGGCGGGTTCCGTACCGCATTGGCGGCCGCCCAGGGATCGACCTCCCAGGTTGGCCGCCTAGGCCAAGGCGATGCCCCCAGGCCTTCTGGACCATCTAGGCGGCCGCCTAGGGGCTAGGCGGTTCGCTTTTTGAATCACTGTTAAAAGCCAAATGAACTTCCCATTGTCGTGACCCATGGACAAAACCTCAGTATAATGGTTCATAGCGATGATTTTATGTGAAAAGGGAATAATTTTTTGCACATAAAGGTCAAAGGCAGATTCATGGGGCGTTCATTTCCTTGGATAACTGGTAAAACCCAATTTCTTGGAACACCTCGATCGCATTCTCGACAAGGACATTAACTCAAATGATTGTTGAGGCTCCATCTCAAATAAATAGACTGCCACAGCATTAGAACTTTTTCCCAAAAACTAACAGTCATCATAATCATCATCATCATCAGTACTTTTTCCTAACTATTTAGGGTTGGCCATTCTACTCTATCAAGGACCATTTCCAAAACTAGTAGTAACAAGAAATAACATAAAACAAGGTTAACAAAAACAAAAGTGACAAAAATGCTAAATCCATGGAGATACCCATGTTGGAAAAGCTCACTACCATCTATTTGCATCTATTGCATATACATCTTTTACTTATTAGTAACACAGGCCCATGTCTATTAAATGCTTCTTTTCATATGCTATCCAACGAATGCCTCAATAATATATAGATTGCATAAAGAGGAAATTCACCTTACTAAAATACCGCTGAAGCAAGAAATCCTTCAATAGCCCGCACATTCCATAGAAGTATAGCAAATTAGACAGAACCTGCATGCGCAAATTCAGACGCAAGATCCAACAAGCATAAGTATTTGGCTAAGAAACAACTACAACCCCTCAGAGAAAAGTGAGCAGAAAAAGACCTTATTGTATAACCATTCTGTCCAAGAAGGTGCTCCACATAGAGGGGACACAAGCATAAGCCCAAGTACACGCTCCTTGTACTTCATCTATAAGATTTAAAAGGAGATGAATACGGAAACTGATAAAATAGGATAATCCAGATTGCAATAGATTAGGTTGTCAACAAAAATGGAGGTCAAAATTTCATGGTTGGGAGTAGACATACAGCAAAAAGGGTGAGGATATAAGCTCCTGCTGTGACCCCCATACACATAACTGTCCTAAGCCTGATGAGAAGCAAGATAACAATAATGAGTCAACCAAGAAGCTTTATATAGGAGGATGGATTTTACTAGCATGCATAGTCCATAAATATTAAGAACAGAATTCACTAATTATACCTGAAGAAATCAAGGACTTCAGCCACCTGGTCGGCAAGATCATCTACTGTAACTGCTGAGACATCAGAAGAGATGGAGCCAGCAGCTTCCAACTGCAAAAACTCTTAAAGCAAAGGGAGAAAATTTTTACATGAGCATCATGCATATTCTAGTGCAGCAATCCTGAAAACGAACATGGTTAAATGGTATGGCTTTAATGTTAAAACACTGGCATTGTGCCACTAACCTGGTGCCTTGGTGGATCAATATGGTATATGCAGAAGTTGTGAAGCAGCAAAGAAGCTGCTTCTGGACAAAAGAAGAGTCCTTGAAAGCATGACATAACTGTTCCAGTTAACATAAGAAACAAAATTTGGGATCAGGAAGATGACTCACCTAAACACGACATCAAACACTTGGGTTACAAGTTACCAAAATTAAGAGAAAAAAAAGCTTCTGAGCTTTTATCCTTGCCTCTGTTTATTTTTGGGACAATATGCAAGTCAAATTTAGTGTCAGGACAAAGGTTCAAAATAAATGATTGCATGCGAAAACGAGAATTACACTCTGCTTCATACTCTAGAGAACCATTCCATCGCAATGCATTTAAAACACTTGCAATCAACTCTCAGTAGAATATGCCATTACAAGCAACCAACTTAAGGGGCACATGGAAGGGAGAGAATAATGTCAATTAAAAGCAGGGCATGTTGAACTGGTTTTTAGCAGAAAAAGCAAATGACCATTCCAATTAACCAAGCATTCCAGAAGTTTTAGAACACCATACTGGTTGTTCGCGATTAAAACTTTGGGACAGCGCACACTAATAACCCATATGATCAAGTCAACAGCATGACACATGTCATCACCATCCAATCACTGGGAGGGATGATGTTGGGGGCCTGCAAAGGGAATAATGATATCTCTGGCAGGATCAGCCTTGGCCCCACCACCTCCAACCCATTGGTGGAACAGTGGGGACCCATGTGATAAATACTGTCGCCATAATCACATGGGTTGTAGAATACTTTACCATAATTATCAGGATCCTGTTTTTCACGACTTGGAATCATGGAATATTACTCAAGTTTAACACCATTACGTCATTGACAGCAACTAAAACTAAAATTATTCTAAATTTAAAAGTTCCAACCAGTAACATAGGTGCACGAAGAAATGTTCTCCAAATAAGATTAAAACACAGACTGCAAAGGTCCAATCCAAAGCCAAATGGAAACTCTTGAAATAAATATAGAGATTGATCTTCTTTATCAAATGATGATATACCTAGAGTCCTAGAGACTTTTCTGCAGAAGGACAACTTGCTGGACAAAGTTAGAAGCACTGTTCGAAAAATCGAACTGGCCTCGGAAACCGGCCAAGGGCTAGTTCCTAGTGACCAGTAAACCGGCCATTTCAACCGCCCTAACCGGGAAAGTCCTGACCGATCAAAAAATGTTACAAAAATAAAAAAATGCAAAAAAAATCTAAAAAAATATGAGAAGTATATTGTAATTGTAAAGGATTATTAAACAAACCACATCCAAATGAAGTTGAAAATTAGTGAAAAAAATGGATTTAAAAAAATCTGTTTGTGCCAAGAGGTATTTTTGAAATTTTTCAAAAAAGATGGGAAAAATGTAAAAATAAGTATTCATCGCCAAAAACTTTCCAATCTTGGCCAAAATGATAAAATATATATATATATAAATGCATTACAAATGAATCCCTTATTTTTCGAATTTTATATAAATTTTTGAATTTTTTTTAAAACCCGGCAAGATCACCCAAACTGGCCACTAGCCGGTTCCGATCTAACCGGCCGGTTCTGAGTTGAACCGGCCACTATTGCATTCACGGGTTAGGATTTTACGAGACACCTGATTTCTGAAGTGAAAATTTCATCACTTTCATGTAAGGATGGAGGAAACATTAAGACTATGAAGTATTTTAAAGAAATAAGCTGATGGGTCTAAAATACTCTTATAAGAGTCTAGAATACCAAAGAGTCTAGAATACCAAAGAGGACTCCTAAAGTTCTTCAGAGGCTAGGACTAAGAAACTATCGGATTCCCCATGTGCCCGATCCAGGCACTCAAAGGCCGTCAACCTTTATCCTAAGATAGCCTCTTGTACGAGAGACCTTCTCATATAGAAATTAAGCGGTTGAATGATATACATGGATTCTTAGGAAATCTCAGCAAGTGTTGGAGATCAAATTCTTGAAGTCAACTTTTGAGGGGCAAAATTATGGCCAAAGGAGCACAAAACATGTGACCCATGTTAGAATTTCAATTGCGTGTTGCAGTTTTACTTTAAACTAAGGAGCAAAAGCTTTCCATGACTTCTAGTTGCAATGCGAAGTGTGCAATTACCACAAATGGGTCCAGTTGTTGCCAGGGTTCAATGATCTTCACCCAATTTGGAAAGTCATACACCAAAATTCTTGTAGTGATAAGGTGCCCCACTCCCACTAGATAGGGCCTTCAAGTCATATTTAATAGGTCGTTCACAACATGAAACTATATGAAGATCAGCATATAAGTTGCTCTATGGTAATAACATGCTAGGTTTTCCTAGTTCCTTTCAATTAAATGTACCTTTCTTTGGCTCTTTATCCACATATCGAACTTGAACATTTGAAGGCCACCCCGCCACCACCACTAGAGAAAAGGGTTTATAATAACATCAAACCTACAAAGGGCATCAGGAACATGGAAGGTTCGGATGTTGAAGAAGCAAACAATTCTATGAGGTTCTCAAACTAAATATCATCTTTGTCAAAAACACTGAGCTTTTATAAACTTCATCACGTGCTTTAGTTTTTTGAAGCATCTAGGCAATAAACCTAAGGATGGATTACTACAAATTAAATATTGATTTGCTCTTCAACCCATTAACGATTATAGGAAGAGTTTTTATTCTCATTTCATAGCAAATAACTCTTCAAATCCAAATTCAAAGTTATTTAAATCTCAGAACCTCAAGTATTTGCTCGATCCACAGGACCTTTACACCTTCTTAAATATCTCATGCGTAAGAGAACATACTTCCCAAGATCTTGTTATTTTTAAACATTGTTTTAGCAGAGTGAGAACCCATGAATGTGTGGTTGCCAAGTGTATCCCAAAGTGTCGACCTTCATCTTGAGGATCCTCTTTACGCAATTTCCATATATTTAGGAATGCCAGCTCTCCAAAAATGCAGTAGTCCCGAACACATGGCTTATATTATATAAATACAGCTAGTCTAAATTACTAAAATTCCCTAACGCGAAACAGAAGGCTTATTACATTCTATACAGTCATAAAACTGACCTTCTGCACTTCTACTGTATAATATAGTGTAAATCCATGTTCCAGTATATGGCCTTTAGAGAGTTCTCATGCCCAACAAATCCAAACTCGAACTCATCAACAAATCAACACTCTTTAGATTGGTTGACCACATCCTCCAAACTTCTTTCATAGCCTAATTCCACACACCGTGACAAGTACAAATCAATATCCCTAACTGTTCCCTTCCTTCCAAAGGACCGTAAAACCCCATAATGAATCAAGAAAAGATGTCTATCCACTTCACAAGCTCCATGCCTGGAACAGTCACAGGAATCGGCATGCTAAGCAACCAAACCAAATCACAATCCCTCATTGGGGGGGAAAAAATAAATTTGCCCCATTGCATAAAAAATTTAGGGAATTCTTTTACATGAAATTGCCTGATTTCAGCCCTAGCTTAAGCTCTCAACTCCATATCAACTCTCACATTCTAGGTTATGTTTTTTGCTAGAAGCTTAGCTGCTTCATTAAAATATGAGGGCTGACGACATCCTTTTAGTTTACTCTGAATTCAAACAAGATATTTATTCAAGGGATTGTATATATTGGTTTGTGCACTCTACAAACAGTAAACTGCAGTGCAACATCGCATCAACCTCGGGACAAAATGACATTCCCCCAGAAAGTGGATGGCGTGCAGAGGAACAGTTCACATCAACTGTCCATTGTCAATGGTAAACAGTAGATGTAATCTGCAGTTTATCGTTCATAAACCGCAATACTTCTCAGTATATTTTTAATTTTGTTAAACGCTTGTTTCAGATGTTATTCCATATAAATTTCTCATTTAAGTAGTAAACCTTACAACAAATAAGCAATTAGAAATGGAGGTCGAGTTTATTCCGTTCAACAGAAAAGCAGCTGAACCAAGCATTTGCAAACAAGCATCTTTCGTTTAAAAACCATTTTACATAATCCCAGTCGAAGGCAATGATAATTTGAAAATGGAGAAAGACGCCCAAACAGGAAAAAAAAATAGAACAGCAGGATCATTAGGTGTCGAGCATACAATCCAGAGCGACATCAGGATATGTGATGAGTGCTGGCTTCTCTTGATCTCCGAAAACATTAACAGATACATAGCCATGGCTTGTCTTTATAATGTGTTCCTGCAAACATATTGCAATAAAATCACATACAATGAGCGCCACAAACAAGGACTCAAATGCCAAAGCATATCCAAAACTAGACCGCAACCCAATAAAAGCCAAAGGGTGGAGGTGCTGGTCCATGAAGATCAAAAAGAAGTCGAGGACAAAAAAAGGAAATTAAATTCCAAAAACCAACTGGCTGTGATAAGAAAATAAAAAGAAAAAACAGTAAAACAAGTGAATGAAACAGCAGCTTTAATGTATGATTTTTTAAAATAAATAAGATTTCAGATTAGTAAACAGGATTTTACTCTCAAAGATGGGCCGACTAACTAGAATTAGTCAATAAAATGAAAAATCAACTTGAGTTTAGCCAAAATTAACTCGAAGTGAAAATATTGAATACTATAAACAAGAAAATTAACAATGATGGAAAACTATTATGGCCTTCTTTACGTACTTTAAAAAACAAAATCCTCTGATAATATACGGTGGTCTATGATAAGATAAAAGACACTTGATTTGCATAAGACAGGCCTAAAGCTCAATGTTGGTTCTCATACATAACTTGCTCAAATAATTGTAACTCCACAAATTCATTATATGTAGAAAGGGTATTATATCCTCCACATAGCTTGGAAATATAATTGTAAATCTTCTAAAAAGAAGTAATCTCAAATCTAGTATCAAGAAAGACATAAAAAAATGTTCTTTAACTTGAGGACACCAAAAACCAATATTCAGGACACCGCCATAATGAACTTAGCAATGAAAAGACGCAGATCTTATGTAAACCGGTAAAAGACACCAGATATTACAAGAAAATCAACAAATAAAAGATATATTTTAGTTTTTATGAGCAATCCAAGCAAGAAAAGGGAAAAGTCAACAAGAGTAAAAAATTGAAACTTAATTTTAATATCATAGCAATAAAATAAAAATAATTTGGAAACGCCATGGCATGTAATGTAAAAAGAATCCAACAAAAACTTATCATAAGAAAAAATAACAGAGTTAGTGATATGCAAGGGTAAAATTAAAAACTAACTGTAATGGGAATTAATAAGGCAAATGGGTGCCCAGCTAATGAGAAAAACAACCTCAATGAATCTCAATAAAGAAAATCAAAATTCTGTTTAGACATTCAGACTGAAAGGGTTAAAAGACGTACAATTGACCAGAAATGAAAAAAATGGGACCATTTAATCTGAGAAAAGAGACAAAAAATGGCAGAAAAAAAAAAGCAATCATTTCCATCATACTTCAAGAACAAAATAAATAATACTAATAAATTTGGAAGACTTCAAATGGAATCAGAAATATATGGCATCTTAGAAAAGAAAAATCACAATGATGGTTTTAAAAAAGAAGCATGATAATATGATAATGGATGCACATAAAATTAGATGGAGAATTCATAGTTGACTGATATTTTCAGCCGGACATAAAGGAAACAAATTTTTGTCAATATAAATAAGACATTTTAGGAAACAAACGAACTATTCAAAACTCTTGGAAAACAATAATAAACAAAGTTGACACTTGAGAGGAATTATAATGCAAAAATAATACGCTGAGAAAATTTCAATCTGTCATGACCTGAATCAACAATAAAGAAAGTTCGAATCCATCACATACTTCGATTCTAGAAAGAAAGTGCGCAATGTGAAGCAGAGATACTCAGTCTCTAATGCAAGGAATTTAGCAAATGATCCTTCAATTTTTGGAGAATTTGATCCTTTCTTGTTTTCCATTGCCAGAGTCTTTCAAAGCAATTCATTTCATAAATCAAATTACATAGAAATTTCAAACAAGAGAGAATCAACTCCAAATATATTAGCAATAAAACAGTGAAGATTTCAATATAAACTAGAAGAAAAACACAGAGAAACCCATGATTTTTTAACTAATCTGAATAGCAGTTAAATGACCACATTAATCATCGAGAATTAGATTGCTTCACATATTTTAAACCATACATATTCAAATATAATAGCAAATGCATTAAAATGAGATAGAATGGAAGAAAAACACAGAGCGATTCATATTCAAATCCAGAAATTATAGCGCTAAGCCGTTCACTAAGAAAGCAGAATAATATACAAAAATACAGAGAAATTAGGGGGTACGAAGAAACCTGGCCACCAAGTGGAATGGTCTGAATATCGATGGAGATAGAGCCGTCTGAGTCCGCCATGGTTGCGTCCATGTTCTCCCACTTTCTCTCTCTAGACTTCTAGAGAGAGAACGGAAGAGGAAACAAAAACAGAAACGACAGAACCGCAACAAAAACACTATTCCCATAATGCCCTTAATATATCCTCTCGAAACTTAACCAGGGCTTAACTATGGTTAACTCCACCGACGCCTTAGCGCCAGCTGGAGGCTGACAGTACAAAGTGAGCAGCAAGGATCCTTGACCCATGGTTAAAGACAGGTTAAGACCTGAAAATGACCAAACTACCCCCCATTCCAAGAAGAAGCGGAGAGCTCGCTGGTCAGTCAATAAGAGTCCGACTTTATTAGTGGAAAAGTAAATGAGTATAGTTTCATTTCCCATGCTAAATGACCAAAATAACCTTTGAATAGATTGAATTCTTAATTAATTGCGAAAAGTCTCACGTTTTTTTTGGAGTATACTGCCTATTTACTACTTCGGGTAAAACCCTATATTAGAAAAAAAAATTAATAGAATTCAAAATTTATTCATAAAAAGTACAAATTACATCAACGAATCCACATTATCAGCGATTGCCAACGAATCCAAAAGAATTTTATTAGCCAAAGAATCAGCCCCTATACACATGTTCTAGAGATAAAGACAATAATGATAAAAAATCGAAAATCTGCAGCCCCGATCAGTTTAAATTGCCAAGGAAGCCATTATTCTTTCTTGCAACATCTAATAACATTAAGCGATTTCCCTTCAATAATAAAATCACCTCCAAAATTCTTGTCCACAATAAGTTTCAAACCATTCAAAACTCCAAGTAATTCAACATAGTTAGTTGTTGTAATACCGCAAGGTTCAACATATGCAAGTAAAACATTCCCTTATCTGATTACTCCACCAAAATCAACTAGACTTGGATTCCCCAAAGAGCTACCATCAAAATTCAACTTTAGGACTCCCTGATTTAGTAGCTTTCATCTAACACAGGACACATCCAATTGAAAAAGATTCAAAAGATTAATCATAACATCAGTTTTGGAATACCCCAACCCTCTTTAGTAACTGATAATCATGACCAGAGACTTAATTTAATGTTATTGATCACCCTTTCAAAGCTAGAAACCACCCCTTCAAAAGTTCTCATGTTCCTTTCCAACCACACTTCCCACATAATAGCTCCCCGTAAAACTTTCAAAATTTGTCCTCCAACTTTTAGTAGAGCTACATCCATTTGAACAATCAGATCCAAAACATTTTGTGGTAGTAATAATTTATCCCCATCAATTGAAAACACTACCACCAAATTTTAGACACAAACCAACGGTGAATAAACAAATACACCCCCATCTCTCCATCATCCTTACACATTAAGCACACATTTGTAATTATCTTCCCTCTCTTAATAAGATTATCTATGGTGAGGACTTTATCTTAAGCTGCCAACCAAATAAAAACTTGCACTTTAAGAGGAATATACCATCTCCAAATCTGGAGAAATCTTAGGAAGACTCCATTCGGACTTTATCAAATAAAAGAAGTTTGTAGACAGATTTTATTGAAAACTATCCAACGTTATCTATTTCCCATACCAACTCAGCCTCTTGATGCTGCCTAATATCCACCTGATAAAGATCCTGTAACAAATTGATAAACAGCTGATAAAGATAGTTATAGATTCGATCATAAGGGAAGGTGACATTCAAACTAACCTTATTACCTATCACTTCCACATACCAGACCTATCCACATCATATTTAGAGGCAAGTACTTTATACCACAACCATTCACATAACAGCGCTGCATTCATAAGTGGCAATCATCTCAAACCTAAACCCCCCTCACCCTTTGGGGGACAAATCCCATTGAATGAGATAATATTTCCTCAATTCTTCAAAAGAACACATAAAAAATTATGCATCATAAATTCAATACGCATTGCCACTGCCTTTGGCATGAGCATCAAAGACATTTGATAAATTGGTCGATTTGTTAAGCAAGAAAGCAGCAAAGTGACACGTCCATCAAAAGAGAGATACTTAGGCTTCTACAAATCGAGCTTAAATTGAACTCATTGAATAATATTATCCTAAGCAGCAACATGCACATTCCCTATCGAAATAGGTAGGCTCAAATATTTGAACGGAAAAATATCCACCCTACACCCAAACCGAACTGCTAAACTTTGAACCACTTGCTCATCATAATTCACCCCAATCAATGTTGTTTTACCAAACTTCACCTTCAATCCCATAAGAACCTCACAACAATTAAGGAAAAACTTAATATTGTCAACTTGATAAACATTCTGATCACAAAAGAGCGACGAGTCATCAGCAGACTGTAGATGGGAGATCCATAAGCCATTTTGAGTAGCCTTCAAGCCATTGAAGTAACCCTTATCCACAATATTACAGATCATCTTACTGAAGCACTCCGCATACAAAGTAAAAAAGAAATGGTGAAAGGGGGTCACCCTGTTTAAGGCCCCTGAAAGCCCTGAAAAAACCTTTTGGGCTACCATTAGTTAGGATCGAAAAGTGAGCCATCGAGAGGCACCCAAAAATCCAGCTTCTCCATTTAGAGCCAAAACCCATATTTTTAAGAACCTCTATCAAAATACACCACTCTACCCTATCATACGCTTTTTCTATATCCAATTTTATCACTACACCCGACTCCCTACTTAAACAATTAGAATGAATGCTTTCTTGTACGGTGAGCACACAATCCGAAATCATTCTATTTTGGATAAAAGCCGACTGGGTTTTAGCGACCAATAATAGGAGGATTGTCTTCAACTGCTTAGTTAATATTTTGGCAATGATTTCATACAGACTAGTAATGAGACTAATGGGTTTGATATCAGAAAAGGAATAAATAATGGATCTCTTTGGGATTAATGTTATAAAAGTAGCATTGAAAAAATTTCTAATTCAATCTTTATGCACTAAAAAATAACATCTTAATAAGTACTATATACTTTAAAATTCAAAATTTTTTCTTTTAAAATAACCATCTAACCATTTCTAAGTAGCTTTCGAATTTTAAAGGGGAAAGTTTCATATAGAACCCTAATTCCTCATATTATTTCATGGTAGAGCCTCTTTCTGTTTTTCTTTCAAGCGGTATAAGAAAACCCCTAAAGATTTTTTCATACCCCTCATCTCTTATCTCCATCTTTTATTGACTTTTGAGGGCTAAAAAAGTTTTTTGGATGAAATGGTATAAAAATATTTGATGTGGCCAATTTTTATTATCAAAAGTCAATAAAAGAGAGAGATACTAAGTGAGGGGGTACGGTGAAATCCTTAAGGGTTCTCTTTATGCCTCTTGAAACTGAAACGAAAAGATGATTTACCATGAAATAATATGAGAAATTAGAGTTCTATACGAAATTTTTTCATTTTAAAATGGTAAAACTTCTCCCAAAAAGGTGATCTACCTTATGTATATATATGGTATTGCTCCACTCAAGGCAAACTATAATGTCAATCACTTGTCTTTGTATAGGGTTTTAAAAAAAGCCACCCCAATTAAAATCGTCCAGTCCAGATCAAGAATCAATGGGACTGTTTTAGTGCCCACAAAATATCGAGAACCAAATGGTTCCCATCATGAACAACTTTATTATTGACAGTTCTCTTGCAAAATGGAACCCGCCTTTTATTTTTTAATATTTTATACATTTTTTGTTCTCTTTTTTTTTTGTTCTTTTTATTGGCCTATTCATTTGGTTGGATTGTCGATCTGGATAGCCGATGCGACCATACAAATCAATTTTTTGGATGGACAATCTTAGTTACCGATCCATTTTTTCTAACATTAAAGCAATTTTGTTACCATTTCTTTATAGGGAAAAGTTTATATAGAGCCGAGGCTTTAAACAATCAAATTAGAGCCTACCTCAAAAATTTTAGTAGAAGAAGTTGTTTGATGCCCAAATATCCTCAAATTGATCATCTTGACATCAAGATAGCATGGATATAGGGAAAAATGGATCTTAAGTTTTTGAAATAATGCATCTTATAATGCATTTTTAGACTGTCAATTTTCAGGATTTTCAAGTTTTCATGGATCTTCTAGATCTACACTATTTTTAAAGCTTTAAAAGTTATAATTAAATATAAAAAGAATAATGATCCTATAGGACCCTCTCCCACCCATGTGTGTAGGACTCCAAAAGATCACTATTAAAGTTGGCATGGATCTCTAAAAAAATTATCATACGGGTACGAGACTTGATTTTTCTATAGATTTGTGCTAAATTTAATGGTGATCTTTTGGAGTACTATACATATGGGTGAGGGAGGATCCAATAGGATCATTTCTAATATGAAAATATATTTTAAGACTGTCATAAAGATTTCTAAGTACTACAACCACATTTCTCAATACTATTTGAAGGTTCGCTCTATGTTGATTGTTTAGAGTATCGGCGCTATACAAACCGTTAGCTTTGGAAAAATATATATAAAAAGACCACTTGCTCTCTGTCTCTCCCCCAAGTTAGTCAATGGTCAAAACCGAGTTAGACATAATCCACCACGAACTAAAATTCGGTTTCGTGTGAATGTTCTTTTCAATCTGCCCTTTCGCTTTTAGACAAAAGATTTTGTGCCCGCACCGAAGCATATTATTGATTTATCCTTGAAGTACAACTAATTTAGGAGTTTAGTTTAGGACCTCAAATTTAGAGTAATCGAAAGCTATTATCACAAGTTTTGTGTCAAGAAAGAGGATAAAAAATACCATATTTGTTATTTAATGGAAGATTACACAAAAAAATTTAGATGAGGTCTTGAATGGTATAAGTCAAAGCACAAAGTCGTTGTTTTACTTCGTTTTGAAAAAGTTGCGTATCGCAATTTTATTTTTGTAGCCATTCAATTTTTTGCTTTCTTCTTTTTCAAGCTAAATATGAAATATTTGCATAATAATTGAACATATGTCATTATCGTCATCATTATAATTGAAGCTTCATAAAAACTGATTGAGATCATCTACACAAATCATGTTATGTTGTTCCACTCTGTTGAGGGTCGTACCTCAAGTCACACCATAAATCACCATGTCTTTCTCAATTCTTCTATTCATGTCATTTTAGGTTTTTTATTTGCCCTATTAAAG